TGTGTGTATTTGAGAGCTCTGAGCTTGAGACGCGACTAAACTCAAACCACATGTGTGTGAGAGTGTGTGTGAGAGAGGCAGACAGAGGGAGGAAAAAACACCTTACTGGTGTTGCCAAATCGAATGCTCTCTCTGTACAATCTCCTGCACTTTTGAAGCTGTCCACAGCTCATAAAGTCAGAAAAACTGCAATTCCCATAAGGCTCAGCTACAGCCAGGGCAAGATGCTTACAATCACCAGACATGCAGGAGGCATATATCAACCTGAGCATCAAAAACACATATCCACCCAACTACTGAGCTCGTATTATTATTAATATTAGTTAATGACAAGTAAATAACAGCTGTGCTGAATAAAAAGGGGTTTTACAACATTTATCTGTCATACATTACTATAAATGTGAATAAATGTAATAAAAAATACAATCTATTATAATTTTGAAAATGCATATTTAATTCATAAATAAATGCATAAATAATAATGTTCAAAAACTGGGTAATGAAGTGACATTATTCTACTCACCCTTCAACCATTGAACATAAAATCTATTTATTTTTTATATTGTATTAACATTCTCTTGAAACATTCCAGTTAAGACTCCTAATAGAGATTAGACGTGAAAATGGGAGATGATTACATTTTAAAGCATCCGTATGACAACAAATCTGGAAGGAGATGTGAGGATTTGGGAAGAAAAATGAGAGATTCTTACTGCATTGCAGTGAATTATTCATGGAATATATTGTAAATTAAATCGGGAGAGCAGATCACAAATGTGCAGTCATTTTTCATGTTGTTACAGCAGAATACAACAGAAAAAAGAAAATAATCAGGAGGAAAAGAATGCAGCAGAGTGAGAAGAGCTCTTGCCATGGATATTCTTGTTATATCATGTCACATTTAAATACCAACCGTGACGTTATTCTCTGGATGTCTGAAAACAGAACATAAATGAACATTTTCAGCTCATTCAGGCAAGGATTATTTGTAGTGCATTTGAAATGATTTTTTTTTTTCACTTCATTTCTGTTCACTTCCCCAAACCGGAAGTGCCTCCCATCATTTAAAAAGCAGGAGGCTCTTTAAGCAAAAGGTGGATATTCAGTGGTTCTCAAGCAGGGTTTGGATGCCTACTAAAGAGGGTTTCTGGGACACAGAATTACTGAAAAGTATTTGAATTTAAATTATTGTTTATATATTAAAATAACCAAACTCCAAGCAAAATTAAAATGCTAAAAACATACAATCGTGATATAAGCTGCAATCATAATTTCTCCCATGGTTAATTAAATATATCAATACTCGCAGTTTCTGGTACCAAGGATCACGGTTTCAGCTAAAAATCATCTTTACTGTTCTATTGAAGAAGAAAAAAAGTCACCTACATGGATGGGCTGAGGATGAGTAAATTAACAGCACCCTTTCCCTTTAAGATTACTGTTGGAACTGCAAACATAAATATTAGATAAGAGGCACAATGTGGCCTTAGGGCTGTTCTGAAAATGTGACAATGTGGAATTTTCCCCCAAAAAAACAGATCTAAAAGCATACACACATTTACAGTATATAGTGTAATAAGCACACTAGACATAGTGAGGAGCGGGCCGCATTGGTCTGGGAATACTGATGTCATTTAGATGACATCACGGGTGTGGTTAGGACTTTAAGCCCAGAGTTCGTTTTGGTTTATCCCTCAATTACAATCAATTACACATTCCCTTTCTCTTTCACACACATGCACAGAGTGCAACCAGTGTGGAATACACACACACACACACAGAAAATCTACACTGCCGAAACGCAAACAGTGAGAATTACAATAATGCTTTCATCATGGGCTCACTCAATTTTTTATGACAACCATGTATACACACACACACACACACACAACAAAGTGTGTCACTTAACTCGCGCGTAGCTTGATTCTCATTTAATAAATTACATTTTAAATTGAAACTAAAATTGAAAAAAATATTTCTCAATATTACTGTTTTTTTAATCAAATAATTGCAGCCAATTATGGTGAGCATAAGAGATTTCTTTCAAAAACTTTTTCTAAAAAAACTTTTGAACGGTAGTGTATTGACAGATACACTGTCGTACAGCAACAATAAAGTTTCAGAAGCAGACATCTCTTTTTTTTTCATGTTGCCTTTGTTGCAATTGGTTAATCACAATTTTATTTTGCTAAACTGAAACGTTTGCAGATGGTCTGCAACTGGTGGAAATTAACAGAATAATTAAAGAGAAAACAATACACTCATGACACCTGTTGTGTTTACCCACCATTTATTGACTAATGGTCTAAAAAAATATACATTATGCATAAACCTGAGAGATGTGAGTTACTTTAAAAAAAAAACAATTTTAATATAAACTCATATATACAGTGCCCTATGCTCTAGGTGGGGGTTTAGGCAATACCAGCATATACTGTATACAAGTCACAGTCAGACATGGGTCTGTGATGTCTGATTAAACTTATTTTCTGAAGCTCATTGTGTCAGCACACCTTTAGAGCTTTACTGACTGATTGTTAATTAAGGTTAGTAACATTCCAATCAGAAAACTGTTTAGATACTGATTAGAAATATCTCTTCAAACTTTTTTTTTTATTCATCAAAATGTTTTCACAGTTTGTTTTGTCCCTTAACAATGCAAAGGCATGACAGAATTTCAGGTTTTGTGCTGATATTTTGCCTACTGTGCTTCCAAACTTTTGGAGGGCACTTTGTAAATTGTATATAATTTAGTTTTGATTGCTTGTTGACAAGTGTAAGGTAAACAGTGTTCCATATAACTTTAATCCAGAAACTGTGTAAACATCAAACAGCAAATGGAAATGGAACATGTAAAAAAAATAAATGCCTTCACATTTCTGAAGTCCACCACACACCACTGAACCACAGATACACACGCACACAAAATATGAACATTTAATTTAAAAAGGAAACTGAGGACAACACAAAACCACACACACTGAACGCTGACAGCACCTCCAAACATTCCCATGATTTGATATTTTCCCACAGTCTACAGAAAGTGTTCTGACTTTTACAAAGAGGGAAAACACACACACACACACACATTTGACTGTCCAAATGCATGTATAGATGGAGACGGAATCTCCTCAATAAGACACTTGCAAATATTTGAGAACAAGAGTAATGATGGAGGCCATTGTGTTTTGAGCAGCCAGTACGCCTATGGAATGTCCCCACAATTCACAAAAACAAACCTGTGTGTGTGTGTGTGTGTGTGTGTGTGTGTTAGAGAGAAAAAGAGAGTGCAAGACATCATGAGACTAACCAACATCACAAAGAATAACAAACTTCTAGCCTTCAGCATTTCAACACAAACTCTTCTGATTTATGCTGCAGGAAGGTATTTTTAATTAACTGCTGAAAACTAATTTCATGTCAATGTTGTTTTGAATTGCTATTATTGATGTAAATACTTATTTAAAATAACAAGATGAGGAAATACTGTGCCAGGAATAGGCCTACTTATTTACTCAAGGTTACGTGAATGAATCGATAAAAAATTCCACATACACACACAGATGCACACATCTACCTCTCCAGTTGAGGTCACTGAGTGACGGTGAGGCTGTGCATGTGTGTGTGTTTGTTTATCTGTCTAAGCTGTCTGCTTGGAATAAACTGCCGGTCATAAGTACACACGCTCTCTCTCCCCATCAAAATATTAGGAAGAGCTCATGCCGCCTCCAAAGCTGTTTTTGTAACTTCAGAATGCTAATAATGTGGTTGCTAATGATTAAATAGGCCCACTCTTGGGAGCAGTTTGTGGAATGTGAGCCTTAGAGATGTTTGGGCCTGTCAGCAGTGGCCGTAAGTGATTAGGCATAACCTAAACACCATCTGAATTAAGCACCAATCAAATCTGTCCATAGCGTGTAATCATCAGGGCTATTACTGCACTCCAGAGAGCTCAAATCAAAACAACGCATATATTCATTTACTAAAAGTCACATAGAAAATCATTGCAAAGCCAAAGAGGTGGAAAATGCAAGGTCACAGAGAGCATGTGAGGGCTAATATTTGCATTCCTTAAAGGAATAGTTCACCCAAAAATTCTAATTCTGTCATTTACTACTCACCTTCATGTCGTGCCATATCAGTATGGTCTTACAAAAGATCCTAGTTTCTAGTGACCAGAGGCTGTCAAATTCCAAAACTGACAAGAAAAACTCCAACAAAAACTGTCCAATTTGAGCTGTGCGCTATATTTCTATCAAGACTAATAAGTCACGTTAAAAAATAAAACTATGTTGCAGCAATAAGTCAAATGTGTTAGGCTGAAATATCAAAAGGCAGCTTGTTGTTGAAGAACTACAACTGGTTTCATTTATCACCTGAGAACATGACACCATCAACAGCATGAAGATTTCAATTACTTTAGCGTTTTTATTTTCGGTTTTCGGCTAAAAAATACATTTCAGTGTATCAAAGGAACTGACCAAATTTGTGTGATTCTTCACAGAATAATTTAGCTTCCTCTGAAGCTAGTTTGTAACCAGAATTTGGAATCTGAACACAATCTTTGGCCAAGAGAAGATTATAAATGAATAATGACTGAAATATTAATCTGTTCGACGTGCAGAATCCTTGTTTGGATTCAGAAGACTTGGAATGTAGAGTTTTATGGATGATTATTTTTTCTTTTTTTTTTTAATAAATTAATACTTTTATTTATCAAGACCATTTTTTAATTGGTAAAAATGCTGCTCTTTTCAACTTTCTATTCACCAAAGAATTAAAAAAAAATGGTGCTATTACAGAAACTTGAATGGCAAGAGTTGCTGAATGGTTCCTGTGGGTTTGGAACAACATGAAGGTGGGTAAGTAATGACAGAATTTTCATTTTGGAGTGAATTGTTATATTATTAAACGCTGTTTAAGTTGCTTGCATTAGGATCAAATACAAACATACACACACGGAGCCTGTCATGAAAGTGAGAGACAGAGCTGGAGAAAAGAATGCAAGTCAAGTCACCTTTATTTATATAGCGCTTTATTCGATACAGATTGTGTCAACAATGTACTGCATTATGCCAATGTTTTGCACATCATCGAGGCGTAGCTCACTATACATATCAAGCAAAACAGTTCTACATCATATGTGGCCTAGAGAGACAGAGAAAGAAAGAGAGAAACAGAGCCATAGCGTTTGAACTTTAGGGGGGGTGGACAGTTAAAATGCGCCAAAATCAAACGTCTCTTTGAAACAAAAGCCACACAACAACAATCATCTCCAGACCTTCTTCTGATCAAATGCACTAACCCAGAGTACACGTGGGAGAGCCTCTAATTGACTCTTATGGCAAAGTCAATCTGAACCACACCATGCTGATGTCATGCTGGGGTTTTCCAAAAGAACAATACAAAAGCCGTCCAAAAGCCTCAGAGTGAAACACTTGTACCAATACAACCCCACCAAATCAAAACTCATGACAAGTTTCAAAGCTTGTGGGTGTTTACAAATGGAGGTGTTAGAGGAGGGACTCACTGCACCTAACAAAACAACAGACCAGTCCAATGGGTTCAAACCAGACAGACCATGTGTTTTATGGTACACTGAACAGATTAAAACATCTTTTCAACCTTTAAAACATTAGGCTGCATTTGCTAAATAGTTGTCCGGACGGCTACTAGATTCTTCGGCCGTTTCTCGATATGCGTTCTTAAGCGATCTTACATCATTGTGTCCTTGTACTACGTCATCATCAACCATCAAAGTTCAATTCCAATACTCAAGAACAAGTGCAGAGGACACAAGATGTGTTCTTGATACCGAGGACGTATCCAATGCAGACTTGAGAGAATTGAACAGTTAGAAACCGGGACGATTAGTTGAGCAACAAGATCACAGCACATCTCAATTCTCACAAAGATGCGCTCTGAGTCCTCAAATCAATGCAAGTTAATTTTTTCAAGGTATAGCCTGGCAAGACCAGTCTCCAAGAGAAAGCAAGTTTCATTCTTAGATTCATGTGACCTACCAGCAGCAGTTCAGTTGCTTCATTGCATTTAGAATGCGCTGGAATTTTGCTGGAATCGTAGGTATTCAGGTACTTTTTGTTTAATTAAACACTGCGAATTCAGACATATTATTTTTGCATATTTTTCTATACAATATTCGGATGCAGCCTATTTTTTCAATGCAGAAGTAAGCTATTTTCAGTGAATGTGCAAGTCTTCTGACTGATTAGCTGCGTAAGTAACTAGAAGAATAACAAAGTGCAGTAAATTATTTGCACTACAAACGAGTCTGTTTATGATTACGTTAATAATGAATAAAAGGTAATAAACGGTAATTGCACATTTATCTCACAATTATGACTTTTTATATCAGTGATATCAGATTGTGATATAAACTTGCAATTTTGAGTCCTAAAGTCGGAATTGCAAGATATTAATTAACGCGCAATTACGAGAAATAAAGTCAGAACTCTTTTCTTGTCATTCTGACTTTATAACTCATAATTGTGAGTTTATATCCTGCAATCCTAAGAAAAAAGTCAGAATTGTGAGATATAAACTCACAATTGCGAGTTATAAAGTCCAATTCTGAGCTGGGGTAAAAAATACTTGTTTTTAGTACTGCTAAAATACTCTGGAAGCATCTGAAAGTTAAAAATGGCAGTGCACACTTTTGGGATGTATTCCCGAAAGCAAGGTTTATGTACAATGACATTAACCTAAAACTGTTGAGTTGATTAAACAAAATATTACTTACGCTGGTTTACTGTTTCCAGAAAAGTTGTCCTGAAGAGTTTGTGCACCTCTACGGTGAAAGAGAAATACATTCCCAACAAAGCGCCAAATTCAGGAGTCACCATGGAAACAGATGAAAAGAAAAAGTACACTATACTACATATTATTAATTTGTTTAAATGGCATTTTACTTGATTGATGCAGATTGCCACCAACTGGGCTGTTTTTAATATCCTTTTATTTTTCTCTTTCCCCAACTAAGAACTTAATGTTTTAATGGCTGTTTGTTCGTTTTTCAGGTTTAGCCATTTTGCACATGTGAGATGCATTTTTTATTATAGAAATAATATTATTTTAAAAATGCACCTTATTGAACCTGGGTACAGAATATGGAGAACAATAAAGCAATATGGCAAGCTAAATATGAAAAACAACATGTTTTCCCCAGCAGGATAATTATGTATTGTAGCCTGAATCCATGTGCAACTCTTTGATTACATACTAAAGTAAAAGTCACCATCGACCATGTGATATTTCAATATATCACAGGAAATAAAAATGATGAGGGTGATAATTCCACACAGAATAGAGACAGGAAACCTCTCAGACGTGCTTCTCTTGACAGATGTGTTAATGGTTTATTTGCTGACATTTGAGAGCATTTATGTTTATAACTGCAGGGGAAGATAAATTAATAACTCAATTGGAGACTGACTCATCGAGCCAAACCTTGATTCGAGTTACATTTCAAAAGCATTTTCAGTCACAAGCTATCGAAAGAGGTTAGGAGAGAGGACGAACTACACAGAGAAAATGAGAGAGTTAGATAACAATTAGAAAAGATTTTCAAGCCCCCAAAGAATTTTTGTCTATTGCCATTTTTAAATACAGTTGCAGGATGAATAATTAGATTCCTACAATGTGAGAAAATGCTTAGAACTAATTTAAGTGGCACTAATTGTAAAGTAACAAAACATTAAAAACTGACCCCTGATCAAACTACCCTTATTATTATTATAATAATATAATTTTAGGAAGAGACAGAAACTTTTACATGCATTAACAACCAAGATACTGATTCTTGATAACCAAGGAATATTACAGCTAGTTTAAATTGTTAAGTTAAATTGTCAGTAATTGACAGCATTTGTGGCATAATATTGATTACCACAAAGAAAATAAATAAATTCTACTTCTTTAAAACTAAAAAAAAAAAAAAAAAAAAGCAAGAACTGAGGTTACGGAAATGTGAATGTGTATTATTGGAGCTGTAAAGCTGTTTAAAAACACCATTGATATTTGAAATCACCAAAACAAACTGGCCCCTACCCAAAAGGATCACACCCCTATCTTGATAGCCCCACCCCCAAATTCATGAATATGCTATGCAACAGGCACCTCCCCATCACTAGTGGACACGCCCCTTACTGGTGATTGGCTATAAGTGTGTTTTGGTGCTTGGTCTGATCCACTTTCAACAGTGTTTCTCAGAAATCACTTACACGCACCTTTAAATAATTTATAAAGTTGTTTGAGGGTTTTGACATTACGTTGTCATGGCAACAGTATTATTATTTTTTTTATAAAATCATGTAACACATATTGTTTTATGTCTTGTGGCTATATGCTATTACTTGCATATTTGTATACATTTACAAAATGGCCATATTCACATTCACTTCATCTGTGAGTGCCTCACTGTAACCAAGACTTTTGAAGGAACTTATAATTATAAATGCTGCAGATTGTTATAAAATGCTGTAAACTGAGCTTAACTTGAACCTGGAATATTTATTTATTAGTTAAGATGCGAAAAAGCTACAGGGAAAATCAAAAGCATTGTATTGGTCAAAACAGTAGTAAGTTAATAGAGTTGTATAAATCTGAGGACACACGCACACTTGTCACACACCTCGCTATATCGTGTTGTAGGTATGTCACAATGGGGGTCGTCTAACAGAAATCCAACTGCTCATTCACAAACACAAAGCCCTTCTCATTAGAGCACTGATTAGTGGAGCAGGTTTGTTTGTATGAAGAACAGTCATGTTCTTCAATGAACCGCTACAAAGACAACACATCCATTTAGCACGCCCGAGTGGACAAGAAAGAGGAAAGGAAACAAGAAGAGCAAGAGGGGATGGGCGGATGGGGGGATGGGGGGTGAACACCATTTATGAATGAATATAAGGACAGACATATCGATGGGTTAGACAAGTAACCTACATTGGAACTGACAAGAACTAGAAACTATAATATGTAGCACATGTAACTGTTATGTGGCTCAGGTCTGTGTGAATTAAAAGTCGTAGTCTGCTACAAGAATATGTTATTACTCTTATGTGCTAATGATTGTAACTGCGAACAGTTTAACAGCAGAGAGCTACATTAAGCTCCGACTTACGTTCTATGGTGTGTGTGTGTGTGTGTGTGTGTGTACATATAGCACGGCAGCTGGATTTAGTTTCTGAGTTTTAATGAGCTTCACAGTGTGATACTAAGACTGCAGGCTTTATTAAGTATTTCTAATGAGGTCCACCCATTCCACAAATCTACACTTGCAAAAAAAATACATATTTACAGTGACAGTAACACTAAAGCAAAAACCAGTGAATTTGATCAGGAAAACCCATACAATGTTTCTCATGACAAAATGTGTAATTGTATGGTTAAATGGCATTAAAGTAATGGATTTTTGAAGGTTTAAAGTCATTTTTACCTTTTTGTTTTAATATTAGAAAACAACAAGAGCGAATGCCCAGAAATGTATGATCTTTGCTATTTTTGTTATTATGTACATCAGGGTGTATTTATGCTATTTTGTAATGTTAGATAACTGTATTACTTTAGTGTTGTGTGTTGACTTGAAGGTGACTGTTACAATGCGAATGACAGTGTTTATTAAAAAGCAGAAATGTGCAAAAAAGTAGGGCTGATTTGGTAATAAGGTATAATGACATTTAATTAGTGCAAAATTAACATTGCACTGCAGATGACAGTGTAAAATGCAAAAGGTACATTGAATTATATCAAAAAATAGAAAACTCATCGAGCCTCATTTCAATGTGAATTACAACTTTTTCTGAGGAATTGTAAGTGAAATGTAAAGAAGCACTTGCTGACAGGGTCAGCAAGCAGGTTATACGGGGACATGCCTCTGAAATGGCACAGAAACGCAAAGAGTCGCTTAGTTTAGACAAAACCGCTGACACGTGAAAGTCACTTTATTGGAGAGAAAGAAAACTATAAACTGTTGCACAGCTTAATTTTGCTTTTGATTCTGTATGTGAGACTGGAATGTTGTAGTACAAGTTGTGGCCCCAATTTAAAGGTGCTGTATGTAATTTTTT